ACAAATAGATGAAGTAGCTAAAATACTTAATTTTATAAAAAACTTAAAATTAGCAATTAAAGCCAAAGTTAGTTACTGTTTATCTAAAAATCTTGAGAATACAATATGTTTAGAAATAATATATGATACTACAATATACATTGTTAGCAGAACAGAAAGTCAAATCTCTGAAGAAATTAGAAGTAATAGCTCCAAAACTGGCAACTCAGGAGATAATGAAATGATACCAATAGAACTTGATAGAACTAAAGTGAGAAAATTTATAGAAATACAAAGAAGAGCAAACAGATTATAAAATATGAAGAAAAGAAGTATAAACAAAAAGAACTATATTTTAAATACAGACAAAAAGGCTATATAGCAAAAATATACTCTAGCAAACAAATCTCAAACTCTGAAACTTCTTCAAACACAAATGCTAATGTTAAGCAAGCAAACTTAATAGAAAAGAAGTTAATATTTGTAGTAAAAGAAAAGAAAAACTCCTTAGGTAAAAGGGAAGATCAGTAAAAAGAATACTTTAATTTTGATAGATTTTGATATCTTTAAAGATTTTATTAATATCTAATTTGTAAAAACACATCAATTAATGATCAATGAAAGTGTAGAAAAAATTGGCAGTAAAACTAGCTGATAAAAAATCTTGTAAAACATGTGACTATATATTAAATATAAAAATTCAGATATATTCTTGGAAAGAATGTAGAAATAGAATAGAAGTTTTATCATTACAAAAATACAATGCAGTATTAGAAAAACTATAGTTGTATAATTATAATCCTCAAATAAATTAGAAAACAAATAAAGTTTTTGTATAGAAGAACCAAAAAGTGTTTAATATTAACACTAATGCTAATAGAAAACTTATCAAATCTGCTACAGTAATAATTTTAAAAAATTAGTTGATCAAAAAAACCAAACAAAATATAAAGCTATTTGCAATATTAACTATAAACACCCAAAATATAAAAAGTAATAAAGAAATTGATATTCTAGAATTTCTAAAGAAAATAGTAAACGAGTATCAGAATGTTTTTCCAGAGATGTTATCAAACAACTTACTTCAAAATGAAGTATTGACTATAAAATTACTTTTCAAAAAGGTATATATCTCTGTTCAACTCTATTTATAGATTATCATTCTATAAATTAAAAGAATTAAAAAAGCAGTTAGATGAATATATAAAAAAAGAGATAATCTGTTTTAGTATATCACCTTATAGAGTTCTGGTATCTTTTGTAACTAAAATAAATAGTACTTTTCATATATGTGTAGACTATAGAGCTTTGAATAAAATTACAATAAAAAATTGATATTTATTTTCTTGTGTAAATGATTTGCTAGATAAGCTTATTGGTACTATAATTTTTAGTAGAATCGATTTGCGATCTGGATATCATTAGATATATATTTAAAAAAAAGATATTGAAAAAATAGCATTTTGTATATGATATAGTAACTAACTTTGGCTTTAATTGCTAATTTTAAGTTTTTTATAAAATTAAGTATTTTAGCTACTTCATCTATTTGT